TGAACCTCAGATGCCTGCGGTAAAAGACACTGATGGGATCTAACAATGATGGGGTATATACGCCGGTCTGAGGTGAAGATCCGGTTTATTCGTTTGGGATAGTGTAGTGTGAATGAGATGAGGTATCCCGTGAAAGCAGGTTTGAATCAAAAGTTTACGGGGCTGGTGGACAGTTTTTGACTCGTTGAAAATCAAGCCTCAGACACGCCTCACGTCAATATTACGTGGTTGCGGCTAAGCGCTCAATTATCGAATGAATCCTGCCTTGAGGTTGGAGAAATTCAGATGTTATGTTAGATTATTTCAATTCTTGAATTCTTGAACCCAGAACAATCAGACGTGCTATCTCCTCCTGAAATGTTGAATTTCTGAGCTTTTTCAGCGAGCTAAATAATTCCCATAACTGGTGTAACGGTGATACTACTGATGAGGAGGCATGCGAGTAGTATGTTTTGTTCTCGTAAATTCGCTTTGCTTCTTTGGAGAAGGGAAATCTGTTTAGGAATTTGTGGAGTCGCTTTGTAGCATTTGCTTGGATTTGAGCAGTGAATGATTTGAGTTAATGAATTTCTAGGAAAGTTCAAGAAGACGCGTTCAGGAGAAGATGGATATCCAGTTTTTGTAAACCCAGCCTACTGTTTTGTCTACTATAAATTGTTGAACTATGGTTGGTGTGACCACAAGTTGGAAAAGAATAAATGACTTATTCTGATCAGCTGTCCCCTCATGAGTAGTATTGTGTGACCCACACGCTCATTGTCCTTTTGAGGCAAGATATTAGGATCAAAAGCTAAGATTTGCTAATAATACGAAGCAGGGGACACAATCATTTGTGTTTTCCTGGAATCAAAGGAATCTCTTAGGCCTCATCAGTCAAACTGTCAGGAGTAAAAACCGCCACGCAACGGAACGAATTCAGTCTTCGAAAGAAAAAAACTCATGATGAACTTCCAGAAAGGCAAACAACTCCGCAACAAACATCCATTCCAAAAAGGTAAAATTAATCTGTGGTTATTGTGCCACGATGAAAACTTTGAAACGTTCAACCACCCTTGAGCTATTTAAAAAGGTCAAGCGGCCTGGTGCAGCACATTTAATTGCCTGGAAACATCAACATCACAAAGATGCAGCTGGGTTCCAGGCGAGTCTCTCGATAAACCAAATGAGTTTGCAAATGAGTGGATTTTGCTCAAAGTTAAACTTGTTTCATGATTCGTCTGTGTCCTGTCGGCCAAGTCAATGTGTTAACACAAATAATTCTTAGAAAGATGGCTAGTTTCCGAAATCCGCCTGCCAAACGATGAAGGGCTATGATAAAATTGAAGCGCAGTTTCCGACCGTTCATCGTCAACCCAGTCACAGACAAAAAAATTCGTACAACTCTCATGAGGTTGTCTCTACTTTGATTCACCGCACAGCATGCGGAAACGCAAACGTTTGCCGTTAATATCATGTTCACATGGATTGGGTTGCACCGGATCTGGACTCGGTGAGCAAACAATCGGATACCAACCGGATATAAGTTGTCCCCAGACACACAGTCAAGCAACAAATTCGATTAGAATGTGATGAATAGAATCAGATGTCGCCATACAACGAAAAAAGTGGGTTTGAAACTTCACCTTGAGTTGAGTTCGCCTTCGTTAGAAAAGATGGCGTGAGAGAAAGGACCAGGAGAAGCCAAACACGTCCAATAATGCGCAATTTTAATTCCTTATCGGGTTAAAACTAACAGTTATACCGAAAGTTGGATAAATATTTTCCTGGAATTATGGCACTCTGCTTTTGGTGTACAGAGGATTGCCGTTTGCCTGCTCACCAGTGGTTCCGCGAGTTTTTGCATTTGAGTCCACATCACTGTGATTGTGGCCACCCTCTAAAGTGTCTGGGTGCGATTATCCTGGTCAGCTGTCTGAGATACGGGACAGTCCACTTGCACACTCAAAAGGAAGATCAATCATCAGGCCTCAACCAGGCTGTATGTGATCGGTTGTCCCACTGGATTACGTAGTTATCCACTGACAAGGGGTCACAAAACACCTGGTGAAAAATGTCAGATTACTTGTGAACGTACATCAAAACCGATACCCCAACTACACCAACAGACACTTGATACATCTGAATTATAACCTGAAGACAGGTGTACATATTCACAATTGAGCAACAAACGCAGGTTTTCCGGTGCCTGACTAAGCCCGATTGCCAGTGTGGTAAATATCTGTTTTCCCCAATGGCTGACAAGCCTATCGAGGACGATCACGAAATTCGATGAGTACATGTAATGGATGATGAGGTATAAAGCTGACCAAACAGTATGCGATGAACTGCCACACTTCTGGCTGTGCTGGGTAAATCAAATGGTACCAGAAAAATCGAAATTTCAGATCAATATGGTGATTTGCAATGGTATAAAGTGCGTCGAGGGAATAAACTCAGATCAGATTGCCTAGGATAAGCTGATGAAAGCCGTTTTTGGCAGGGTTGCTATCGTCAAAAAATTGGCAAGAATCACCTGATAACCGGTATGTCGGGGCCGGTTTTATCTAGACATGGAACAGTAGCTTTTAGGTTCTAGTTCGGCTGTTCAATTACAAATAACTGAGGAGAACAAAGAGACAATTTGGTTAATTATCAGCCCTCTAATCAGGTTCAACTGTTTTTTGGAAAATGGACTTTGCAGCCTACCGAGGCGGTGGAAAGTAACAGGCATCACAGCGTGAATAGAATCGAGGGTGTGGAACCGGCAAGCCTACAGAAAGCGGTTTCGGTTGAACCGAGTTGACTGTGTGGTTGTCAGTATACGTAGAATGATTGACAAAAACGGAGGGGTGGAAATTCCAGCCCGACAAGAGTTCACAGAATCCCTCCTCTTTACACAACTATCGTAGCACAAGCTCACCCACAAAGACGGACGAAAAGTGCAAACGACGTTCAAGAGGGATCATCACGTGAACCAAAAGAACTAGTCCCAAGACTAGACCCGAACCCATGTGGCTTTCTTCATGGGCTGGTGACTCACTCTAATACACAAAGTCGCCTGGCCGCCACCTAACACAGATTCGAATTGACTTGACTGATTGGTCCTCCTTCCGCCTTAAATCACTACCATCCTCGTAACCTATTCACTTGGCCTGACAAAGCTTTTTGTTAAATGGTAATACAGCGATTGCAGTTTTTCATTTTTTGGAGACCGTCGGTTTTGAAACTGTTTCGGAATCTGTCATCGGTGTCAAAAGTTCTATGTTATGTGAATAATTTACTTGCTCACAAAGAGCTTCAGTTGGAGGTTAAAAAAAAGAAACTAAATCAAAAGTTTTTCTAGTCTAAGAAGTGTAGAGTGATGGAGTGAGCATTCTGCACGCAAGACATTCAAAGTTCATTTAGTCATTTAGCAATTCTCAGGAGAAGTTACCCTCAAATGTTCTCAACAAATACATTTACTCTATGACTGTCTATCGTCTATCAGACTAGTATACTCAACCACAATGATATATTATATTACTGGCTTCCTGACCGAATCTCTGAAGGGTCATAGGGAAGTGGACACCATCGTACGAAAAGAAGTTTTGCCAATCAAACCATGGTTATTTCAGTGCAAAGCGTGTGTTGATGCCATTCGAGGATTAAAAACATAAACCTGCGTCAATCAAGTTCTGTTTGTACCTGCAGGAGTTCGTAAACATCCTGTTATCCAGGTATGTCAACTTAATTACTACACGGATCCAGAAGGCATTTCATATCCAACATCTTTCGGATTCTAGACGTCTGACCCCACAAGTCACCCCCATCGTTGGTTGTGCGACTTAACGGTGATATATTGATCCGTTGCTTACGGTGCGCTTTGGTCTAAACATCATTCTGTTGGCTTCGAGTCACTTTACTGTTTACACTAGCGGTCCTGTTATCGACCATTATTGACTTTTAGTTGTTCATTACTTCCATTTGGTTAATTGCGGCTTGTGAGGGGAGTTCGATCGTTGTGTGGGACATGGTGGCGTGGCGGTTCTTTTCATGACTTGAAAGCTACAAAAGCATACCCAAACATTTTTTTCACCTAAATGATCTCCCAGCCACCAGCATGAGGCTGAGATGATTGAGTTCGAAATCTGCGTCCAGTGATCTTTGGATCAGTGGGTAAACAGGAAGCCCGGCAAACTCCAGGGTGGAGCCTTGGTTACCGCCATCTCGAACGTTGCACTGCATAGCTATTCAGTTCTTGTTATTAGTAGGCATGCAGATATTTGCTCATCATCTTCTTCACGTCCCCTATTCCACTTGGTTCCCCTCACCTTCCTCATATTCTCCGTAAAACGCCAAATGTTACCACAGACTGAGTGCTCATCGTTTGACTGGAATCAATCAACAGCGTGTAAGTGCAGTCGGAACTACAGTTTGGTCTGCGGGGAATGGACACAACCGGTTAGACTCTTGTTGTTCGGTTGCAGAGTAAATTTGACGACGTTGTGCGAGAAGCTATCAAGGCCACCGGTTTTTCTTACGTTTCTTCACGCTTGTCCGAAGTAGGACAGTTGTTCACCGGAGAATTTGGAAATTTTAATATATTGTTTGCAAAACTCTTGAAAAATCAACCCACATGTTGAAACGGTGCAGAACGCTACTCAGGTCAGTTGAAAATAAGCGTAAAACCAGTTCATTCTACGGTATGCGGCATCATTTTTATGCTCTGGTGGTCCTACAGAATTAAGTTTGTCGAATTTTTTTCTCTCAGTGATTGCTTTCTTCAACCAACAGCCACGTGCTTGTTTGTGCCGCAAACAAACCTGGCTTTTGAAAAGTACTCTCATTTGCGCAGGAATCTGGTTTTGTCAAAAGACTCAACTGAATCCAGCTGAATTTCTGGTTTATGATGGTCCAATTTGGGTTCAAGCAGATCCCGGAAACTCGGAGATCGTACCTACCTGATGGGTCTCAAGAAGGGTAGAACCGGTGGTGAAATGCCGAAAAGTTCCAGTAGTTCATGAATAGTTTACCATATGTAGAAAAAACCCCACTATTGTTAATTACCCGTTTTCGAGAGCGAGATGGTCCAATTGGTTAGAGCGCGAATCTACTGACCAGAAGGTCCGTGGTTTGAAACCGACCTCCACCTTTCGACTTCCCCTGTCTAGGCTTGGACAACCTGGCAGTATCCTAGCCCTCGTGTCTCCTTCGGGCGGCATGGCAGTTAGGCACCGAAAGGGTGCTACAGCTAAATGATACCCGTTTTTGAGGGAGTTTATTTCAGCACGGTAAGCCCGAAGATCTGATAGCCATGTGTCGGGATAACAACAGAAGCCCTCCAGCTCTTTAAATCACTTAAAGGAGATGATCATTAGTTGTCCTGCTGCAGGAAATCACATTTAATTTCACGTCCGCTCTGACCACAAGATGTCAACCTATAGCAGAATTAGAATCCCAAACAAAGTCAATTCTGTATTTTGATTTTGGCTGCCACAAATTCTATCTTTGGTCATACCATGTTAATAAAAAACCCCAATGCATGAACCATCCAGACCACACTATCTCTCATCACTAATCATCGGTTTCTTCAATCCTTGATTTCACGTGATGTTGCCTTTTGCCATTCGAACTCTGCGCTCTATGTACTTTAATCCTCCAGAAGGGCCTCTCTGTGCCATTGTCCTTCTAACTGACAACAGAGATACTCATGCTACCCAGATATAAGCTGTTTCATGTTCAGCCTGGTCGTTTATTGACTTCATTTACTGCCATATAATGCTTGCGGTTTCCTAGGTTCTATTGGTAACCCATCCAGAAATACTGCCAAGAAACTGCTCACCCGAATCCTCCTGTAAGTAGGTTTGGTTGCAGGGGTTTTGTCGCTTACTCAACCATCTCCGTGGGTCGACAGCAACGAGCATTCGTGTGTTCCCTGCCAGTTGGCTTAACTCTATTCTAATACTGTTGACACAGTGAGTGCTTATTAGGATAATGGTCGTCACTCAAAGACATCACTGGCTGATTTCGTGAACCTCAAGTAGTGTGCTTGAAATTCTTTAAGTAGCAGAATGAGGATGATTAAGAATTCGGAGAAATATCTAGGTTGTTGGTTGTTGATCAGGTGGCTGTGGATCTGTTCGCCGAGCTTGGCAGTTGGTTTGCAAACGTTTTGTCTACCTTGGGTGTTGCAATTTGAAAGGGAGAGTATAAAATCGATGGAAATGAATCGCACTCGTTTCTCACACTGACAGTAACTTGCAGAGGAGTAGCTTTCGTTAAGTCACCATCTAATATTCACCAGCCCTCTGAAGAAATGGGTCAACGGAAAGTTATCTGTCACGAAGACCCTCAACCCAGCAAAGAAATGCCTTATTGGGAGTACTACTAACCCACAACAATCTAAGATAATGGTTAATATTCCCACATAACTAGTAAAGAAGAACTGAACACAACACCGAGAGAAAAGTGGGCGAACGGTGCTGGTGGGAAGACCCATTCTTGTGGACCCGAGGAATGAGAAATAAATAAGCCCACATAGTTCATCCATTTTCATCCTGATTCTCACCGACAACAAATAACCTGCTCAGTTTGAAACCCAAACTCCAAACTTCAAATTCAAACTTTGAAATTCAAACTTCAATAGGACAGTCGACTTAAAGGTTTGACCATTGGCTCAAAGGAATGCGGAGTAACTTCACGCCTTGTATCGCCTCCACACGGCGGTTTGTTTAGTTGCCAGGACACCGCTTAGTTGGGTCAATGAGTCAAACTAGCGATAAGTGCCCTCTTAATTAATGGCTCTTATGAGCTCTTTCAAGCTAGGCACTCAACCCTCAGACTACGGAACGGTTGGATTTCCGGGCTGAATGTGACCTTGAATCATGCATTTATCACTGGATACTTGTAGTACGCATAGTCCCGGGAATGTGCGGTCTGTACACTGCCTTGGCTCACTGCTTCACACTATTGGAATCAAGCAACGGGCTTGGTGAGAAATTAGCCTGACTGAGGGTCGAATCTAGCAAGCTACGTTTAGAGGTAACATAACGATCAAAATTATAATTCTTGGGAAAGGGACAGAGACCGCCTGAGTGGAGAATTTTTCCCAATATAGAACTGCCATGCGCATTTAGCATCTGGAAGCAAGACTGATAAACAGCCATTACATCATTTTTGACCCAAAACTTGGCAGTCACCGTATTGAACACAATGACCAGAAAGGTTATTGTTCTTTTCTTTTGGATACTTGCGCGAAGAGTCTATTTCTTATGTTGCTTTTAGTCTCTACTCTCTCCCGAATTGCTTCATTGGCTCCAGATGCCTCTCCCTACACATAGTAAAGTTAAGAAACAATATGGGAACCAAAACTCAACAGAACATTGCTTTCAAGAAATAAATTAATTTACAAATCAATTTGGTTTTTATGAGAGACTCAACTGAATCTCTCGTTTATGATAAGGGCGAAACCGGTCGTGGGCTGTCGAAGAGTTCTCAGCAACCTTGTGAGTAGTTTCGTTTGTGAACATTGCTTTGTTGTGTGCCGAGTCGTTGAGTCTATCATCAGGCTAATTTCGTTGTGTCACGTGATTAACGACCAACCACTCAGTGGCCTATATTCTGCCAGGTCCTCTGGTGAGGTCTCAGCCTAGCTTCAATGGAACTGCCTTGAATACTGGCTCGCTGCCATCGAATAAATCTCTCGGCTGTGTACTCACTAACGTAGAAAGAAGATTCATCCGAGATTCGAATGATTCCCTTCTTCATTACTGCAAAGACATTCCCTGAGCTTATTCGAACCTGTATTTGGGATAGCAAACTATACTTCTTTCGCCAGCTGAGGATTTGCTGGAGTTGACTTTCTCGGACAAACTCGCTAAGAGGTCTTTCATCGCAAGTAGTGAACAACTATCATGCGTTGTCATGGCGTTTGGCTCACTGTAAAAGAAAGAGGGTAATCCAAGTGGAATTTTAAGTAGTTCCCTCAAAATGTGCGGTACCTTGAACAAGTAGTAAAGTGAGCCATCACGAATGACATTTCTTTTTGAAAACGATTGCCACATAGTCAGATTGACGATCATGTAACAATTGGCACGGGCGTGGAAATAATATTTATGAATGTGCAATAAGAGTAATTTGTAGAAACGACTTTTGGCGTGCAGACAGGCCTTTACATTTGAAGCCATTTATGTATCCGTAACTCTTCTGAGGAAAATTCTGCTTTCCCACTTTAAATCAATTTGTGGCAGCTATTCTTTTCAGTATTTCTCTAATACAGGCTCGAAAGATGTTTAACGTTTACAGTGAAATTTGAACTCAGATTGTCACCTTAGGCTCTGATAAATAATCGTCTGCTGAGTAACTAAGAATCATCGATGAGCTCGACGAAAAAGAAGCCAAAAGACACGATTTTGCATCAATATATTGCCTCAAGCCTCACGTAGCTGGAACTTAACTAAGCTAAATTAAACTAAACTAAACTAAACTGGGACAGTGATCACTACTTTTCTTACCTCAACCAGTAGACCAAGGGGGAGGAGGGGAAAGGTGATGAAGGCTATTGTTGAGAGACACCTACGTGATAAACCAAATTTATTTGAGTCCAGAGTACCTTGCGAACAACGTACATCTGATTATCCGAGATCACCCGGTATGCTTGCCTTAAGTCCTTCCACCTGTTAGATGGAAATAATTCTGTTAGTTTCGTTGACTTATGAGGCGGAAGTGTCTGTTTTGGAAAGTTGTTAGGCCAAACAAACTGTTACGTGCCCCATACACAGCCAATAAAGATTTGGTTTCTGCAAGCATGGTTTTGTAAAAGCGACGCTTCATCCAATTTGTTTGTTTCTCATCAGCAGATAAGTTAAAGTTTTCGAGAAAACACTCGTTTGTGAATCAATATGGTTTTTACGAGAGAGTCAGCTGAATCTCTCGTTTGTGATATTCTACAACTGGATGTGCTGCACACAGGCCGCCTCACGTTTCAGTTGGCGCGATATTCGAGATAGCGCAGTATAGTTTCATAAATGAGAGAGTGTATTTCGCCAATTTCGTGCGATTGGGGTTCAAGAGGAACATGAGGTTGACGGAAACGCAGGAACTGCGCCTACCTGATGAGTCCCAAAAAGGGCGAAACCGGTCGTGGGCTGTCGAAGAGATTTCAGGCAACAGTCCTCCTTCAATCATGGAAACCACGTCGGATGGTCACATATTGGTTGGCTGCATAAATTACGGCTTCTCAGATGGAATTTTCATTCACCTTGTGATTGAAGGATTTATGGTGTCATGTCCTGTGTAGTTGACAGCTAATCACATTGCTGGTCAGCCACTCGTGGCTGAAAGGCTGTTTCCAAACTACTAGCTGGAAGGTCACAGGTTCGAGACTCTGGAGTTTCGCGAGATGCGCACTACTGATGCGTCCCGGTGAAGATGAAACAGCTTTACAGCACTTATCGGTCTTCCTGCATTCACCGGCTTAACTCGCGGGATTAAATTCAATTAACTGGTTACTGTTCATTTACACTTTGAAGCTTAACTAGGTTTTCCTGAATTTTGCGTAGATCTATGGAGGTTCTATTTAGAAACTGGCTTGTATCGGACCCTAATATGATAATTCATTTCGTTTTCCATTCTGAAGGAAGATATTTTATTTTATATTTATTGAAATGCAAAGTGATGGTAGCTGCGGCCACTTGTAGTCAGAGGTGAAAAGGTTTTCCGGCAAAACCTACAAACTTGGTTTTTGAACCTGTGTCTGTTAAGATGTACGAAAAAATTGGACAGAGAGATCTGCGTTTCTTCCTCGTGTCGAAATTGATATGAAACCCTGAAAAATGTTTCGAACATCATCTGGTACTCCCTTAGCACAAATTAGGGGGCTGATATTCAATACCGCATGTAGGGGCATATATGGAGCGAGATGGCCAAGTGATAGAGCGCGAATTTACCGACCGTGGTTCTAACCCTGACCTCTGCATCTCGACTTCCCCTGTCTAAACCTGGGCAACCTGGTAGTATCCCAGCCCTCGTGCTTCCTTCCAGTGGCATGGCAGTTGGGCACCGGAAGGGTGTTACACCTGAACGATAGGCTTAACCGGCCTCGGTCAGCAGAGGAGCTAGTTATGTTTCCAATGTTCGCCCTTGGATCACTTTGCCCTCAGTGGTTCACTTGACGGGCTGCATTTGAGCTGATCTGGCACCAAGCACGGAAATCCATTTATGTGGTATGATAAGAACTGGAATCAACCTGTTACAGCATCTGTCCGGCACTTTTTTGTATACTCTAAGGACAGATTCCATACTGCACGTTGCCTAATATAGGAAAATGGTAGCTGACATTTCTGAATAGATCCAGTCAGTTATCAGTTGATACCCCGCACACAATTTCAACACACCTTCTGATGTGACCCAAATAAAGTGTTCTGGGAACGTTTCACATGTAGATAGAGTGAACTGAATGCTTAGGCACGCTTAGACACACACGGGCAGCGGTGGTTGACACACATAGCGCGCCGAATATCTGAACAAGTGAAAGGAATGTGAGAGGACAACCCACGTAACCCATTGGCCAAATTTTTCCACACGGCATTCCAGAGAACAGCACCAAGACTTCAGGGAAACTAGAAACTAAGCCAGTTGGTGAATTTGTCCGTATAGAGACCACTAACAAAAGCAAGAACTCACCTTGGGAACCAGTTACTCTGAACCAGTATAGCACAACTGCGACAGGATTCGCATATTATTGTCTGTATAGCACAAAAGGCAGTTGCATATTAATTCTGTATAGCACAAAAGGCAGTTTAAATGTGCAGGATTGCATGAATACGTAAGGTTCTAGGCCACTGACCAGGCTTGTTTGGCTTGCATCCTGTGAAACTATAGTAGTGAAAGAATCCGGATAAGATGTGAGGCCCCTTTGGAATGTTAATCAAAAGGTGTTTCTCACACTTATGTACAGAGCGATTGATGGCTTCCTTGAAACTGTTTGTGAATTTTTTAGAACACTTATTTTCAGCATTTAGGAATACCGAGGCAGTCCGCTGTCTTCAAATGATCAATACTACAAACAGTCCATTAATCATGTGGATTCTAAGACAATCGATGAAGCTTGGAATAGATTTTTGGCTGATGATATGGCCAGTATGACAAACTTCCTTACCCAGTTTACGTTCAAACCTCCCTCCCCCTGATGATTTTCGTGACACTCACCATATGTTGGACAAAATGCGCGATACGAGAAGCCGCTAATGTCCAGTTTGTCAAAAAATCAGTACTAAAATATAACAGTTTCTCCCGATCCTGAATTTGCGGTGACTCGACCTGAATATCTAGCCAATGCACGTTGTGTTTCGGTAATTTCGTGTCACAAACGGTGTGTGCACCCAAAAGTGGCACACGAATAATGAATCTTCGCATTGTTTGGAGAGGGAAAAAGAGGCCTCAAGATTAGTTGCGTAAACTTTTCAATTGGATTTTTGAAACTGCTTGATGTTTCAAAGAAACTCCTGTCGAACCCCATCCTTCTTTCAACTGAGTCCAAACTTCCAGATGAAAATTTCAAAAGTGCTTCAGGTTACCCGTCCACAATTGCAGCGCATTTACTTCACGAACGAATATCCCTTAAAAAGACCTCACGCGAAGAAACGACCCCTGTACCGCTGAAACTTCTTTCAGAAGTGTATCCTGCATGACAGGACTCCGCTGAATACTAGTTTACCTAATTGTGTGCACTACAGATTGCTTTCAAAACTCAGTTCCACACCCTGGTCTGAATACACGCACATGGACAACAACCTCAGTCACCGATAGCGGAAAGGATCAGCGAGGGTAAGGTATCCGCTTCTGACAGAGTTTCATCGAGTCACTGGGGTATTTCCTACAGAGAGTGAGTTTCGCTCAAATTAATCTGCCCTGTCGAAGAAGACAACTAGACTTACGCTTACCTGGGTTACATGTCTTTCGAATGGCCATACGATGCAGGAAACTACTCACAACGTTGTTGAAAACTCTTCGACAGCCCACGACCGGTTTCGCCCTTCTTGGGGCTCATCAGGTAGGCGCAGTCCCCGAGTTTCCGTCAACCTCATGTTCCGCTTCCACCCGTTTGCAAGAAATTAGCGAAACGCACTCCCTACCTTATGAAAATATACTGCGATATCCCAAATATCGTGCCAACTCAAACGTGAGGCGGCCTTTGTGCAGCACATTCAGTTGTAGAACACCATAACCAGGAGATTCAGTTGAGTCTGTCGTGAAAACCAAATTGGTTTGCAAATGAGTGTATTTCTCGAAAATATGATGCAGGTTCAAACCATTTCGTTTTAATGGGTTTAGTTCACCAGTTCGTGCTGGTTTAGCTAACTGACTGATACTTAAATCTAGCGGGCAGCATAAGATGTAACAACAGACGCATTAACCTTTTGATGAAAGAAGCGTTGACGTCATGGACTGTATTTGCGTACAAATGCACCCTTTCGGTCTGCGGAAAAGGTTATGGAATTGAAGAAATCGGCAATCAGAATGGAACCAACCAACCGGTCGAGAACATAGGAGTAGAAGCTGATGCCTTCCAATGAGTTCGAATGTTTGTTCGTTTTGTAGTACTATATCTACGTGAAGCATTTAATATGAGATTGGAAAAATCAGATTTGAAGAAGTGATGCGTTAAACAAAGCTGGATTCACTGTTAGGCGTTACGGATCTATTCTTCATCAAGAATACCAAGTGTATGAGCTCGAGATAGTTCAGTGCTTGAGACGCGAACATAGTGACCGGATTATAGGTGATTTTAATCAAACTCCATACCTCGACCGCACTTGCCTTGGCTTGGGTAGTCTGACAGATTCTCAGCTGTCGTGCTTTTTCGGGTGGTATGGCAGCTAGGCACCGAAGGGTTGGTACAGCCAAACGTGCTACGCACGGGAAATCTTAGCTTTCGTTACTGTCCGGACTTCGGCCAGTAAACAGTGGTTTCTTGATACGGTGCTGCCTTTAGGGTTTCCGGTAACCTCACAAACAGTAGTGTGTCACGGGAGAAAGACCAAGTCCTCTCAACAGAGGCTCAGCTGTGTGAGACTTTGACCGGTCCTGTGGATGTTCTTTCTTAAAGCGAAAACATGTCAGCCTAACCGATGGCAGCAAAACGGCTGCTGCAGCAAGCGAGAGCATCAAGGAATCAGGCGAACGACAGTGGGGACCTCTGCGGGATAAGTACTCATCAACCGGCAAGAGTAGATGGAGTCGACATAATAGCTTTGTTTTTTAGGAAAAGAGGATAGTTCAAAATCGACTGTGTGAAAAGTAGCAACAAATCAAAACTACAAAAATCTCGAAACAAAAACGATCAACTTTCAACTCTCAAGTCCAGCAGGACGCAAGAAATAAGTCAAAAATTCTAAAATGTACATTTCATTGTTTCTGATGTAATGGAAACTGATATGCGATCGACTGAATCCAAGTTGTGCTAGCGACAGCTTCTAAATGGAGAACAAGGGAAACGAATAACTCCATTAGGAATTGTTTAAAAAAGGACGAAAACAGACGTACAAACAGGTGACAGCCAAGTAAACCATCAAGTGGTTAGAAATCCTGATATAGGAAACTATCCAAAGGAGCGAATCTGGTAGAAAACTTGAATTTTGAAAGACACTCTAGTAGGTGGTAGAGATTGTCAACCCGAATGTCGTTGTGGAACTCGCATTGTCAAAATTCATAGACTTGTTGGGTAGTTATAAATGAAAATGTGCTGCGCCAAACGCATCTTCGGTTGAGGAGGATGAGGTGACGAGAAAACAATGTTTAGTAGACTGAAACATGATAGAGTCTTCCCGCCTGTTTGGGAGGGTGCTTGATGTTAGCTGTGTTTACTAGTGTGATGTGCTTACACCTTTCTTTACTGGCAGAAGGAATTAACTGAGCCAACAATGCAGCTGTTTCTCCTTTGTTTGGAGTCAACAGTAGTAACGGGTTGACTCGCACCAGCGAAATTCGGGTTAATTTTCGAATACTATAGCATTGGGCGAGGATTGAGTAACCTGTAGTGAGATAGCAAATGACACAAATATCTTGTTTTTCCTGGCTCATCAAGCGGATGAAAGTTACATTCCAATTGTGACATTTTTCGATCTAAGAAGTTTTTCCATTATTGTCAACACTGACAACACAATGTCACTATTGAATACGGATGCTCCACTGGCATACAGCCATAATTTTTTCACAAAGTTTCAATTAAAAAAAGGTACTTGAGCGGATGCTCCACTGGCATACAGCCATAATTTTTTCACAAAAGTTTCAATTAAAAAAGGTACTTGAGAAGGAGGTGAAGAGAACTATTGCCAGCGTATTACGGTGCCGTCATCGCCGGATAATAATTCAGAAAATCAGGTTTGGAGCGGGTAACAAAAGCATCATTTAAATCGGTTATAAGCCCATATTTTGAAAGAATTTTTGAAAGTCGCGAAGTATATCCAGAACCCCAGCTAAAGGAAGCACGTGCTAGCTATATCTCTCATAATCGACTGAAATTGACGATATCTCCTCGAGTGGTGACGAAACGTCTGCAAGTCAATTGCTAAGCTCGGCGAATAGTTCAACAGCCTCCTGACCAATTACCAACTAATACGGATATAAGAATATGGGGTCGCCACGGGCGCAGGTAACACCCTCTCAGGCAACCCTCTAGTTTTCGTTATTTTTGATTCAGTTTCAAAGCGAGTCATTGAATTAATTAAAGAAGAGTGTTAGATCAGAAATGACACCGAAAATGAAGGCCTTTAAAGATGGATAAAAATAAAAGAGATCGAGCGTTCAATTAGCGAAATAATTTCCTATTTTGAGTAAGCACGTAACTAAGCATTAAGGTGAGAGAAGCGCAGACTATGGTTGTTGCTGGTGATATAAGAGAAAATGGCCGAAATCCATAGTTGACTTACGATCGGTTTCAATCCGAGCTGAGCTCTTCAAGTATACACGTCTTAAAGACAGTAAAAAGCTATTATTCTGCCTGCTCTGTGCACAAAAAAGTAAAAGTCTCACGAAGAAATCTATAACCTCTAGGGGGCGGTGAGTCTCTTGAGGAGTGGAGTGCTGTATTATTGACCTCCGTTCACTACGAGAGCCTCCGTGTTGATTCCGGCTCTAGAGGTCTCAAGTCAACGAAAAGCAATTTTCAAATGGCCAGCGGATATGATAATTGCCTTTCAAAACCGTCATTGTTATGTTGGGTAGACTGAAGAAATCAAATTGAAAAACCAGCTCACAACTGCTTTCTGGATTTTATGTCTAGCAATAAGGAAAAACCCGATCAGATTTACAAATTTGCTCTCCTGAACATGAAGCAATCACAAACCAAGCTACTGGCATTTCCAGGTGGGAATAACGCTGCTCGCACAGCAAAGCTCTCGAAAGAGCCGGCTGTTTACTCAAAGTGGTGTTGAAAAACGAACGTACATTCTCAGAAAGGGAACCAATCCGATAAACCGTTATCCCGTTTTTCTGAACCAAACGTTTCCAAATCACGTGGTGAATCATTATCCGACCGGGGGTTTTAGCCTCTGCAAGGCTTTCGTTCACGGAATAATGGCAATATAATGAATACGAATAATAAAACTGGACAGCCAACCAGCGTCACAAAAGTCTAATGACATTCACTCATTGTCGAATCATCACGCAGCCATGGCTTCGTTTTTCAGAACAGCCCACGTCAGAATAACAAAGTGTTTGTGCCCTTCAAATGGAAATTTCTCGTTTTTGTAGCCAGTTACCTACGCAGACTAAATTAGAGCGCTAAGAATGAAAAAAACAGTGTTGGCCCAACCAGAATCTGATCAGTTTTCCGTTGCTTGTGTTCGCACAGTATCTGGTTTTATTGTGCTACTGGTTGGTTTATGTAATCCACTGATGCCTGTCTTGCATATGACGCTTCACTTTACCCCGAAATATTGGCGGTCAACCGTAACATGATCAGAAACAATGGGATAAAGTACCTGATAGTCACTGCTTCGAGCGTGCCCCAAAAGAATTAATCCATAGGCAAAGATGATTGCTTGGATGTACAGAGCCATTCATATGTTCGGTGTACCGTTGAAAAAGTGATCCGAACAAAACAAAAATTAACTTGCACCTCAAAAATTTGGTAAATGGGGGCTGTAAGAATGTATTGTATTTAACGTAGCAGGGGAGTTGTAGATCATGAGACACCACAACTAGCTGCGAAAGATATTGACTGTCCGGCAACCCTACGAGTAGTCTGTTTAGCGATGTGCGAACTTCACAGTGCACGAGGTCTGCTAACAACTCCTACTACTCCATTATCAAGAGTTATACTCAACCAAAGGCAAAAAACCGCAGTGTCTAATGACAGATTCAAGTCACAATATGAATGCAGGTTGGACATATGTTAACCGCAGCTGTCCCAGAATCCAGACAAAACCTAGCTGGCTAATTTCTTAGTCTTTCTTACTGGTGTTTACACTGCCTGTCGAAATTTCCGTAGATCAGAAGAACACCAACACAAACTCGAACAGGGCTTTTACTTTCACTCTTTTTTTCTGGTTATAAACCTTGTATGAATGGCGGTGCTCAGATGAATCTCTGAACCTCACGATACCGTGCAGTTAATAGCCTCAGAAAATGACGCTAAAAGGCAGCAGGCAGCATTAGACCATACCATGTGGCACACATCTAAGTCATATACATCGGTCGTCCTGGCGGCAAGAATTGAGCTCTTTTACATAGTGACCCCGGCCAGCTTCTCTGTCAAGCTGAGTCGATAGGCACTGGGTACCTTGCCTGCTCGAAGAGTTCTTCCACCAAGATTCAGTTCCTAGATTGTCCCTCCTTGTGATTCGCTAAAGGAAACAAGTATATGAAGCCTTTCTTCCAGCTGTCTCCAAAGTTCCTTTAAATTCGCCCATCTATTTGTTCACATGCCCTTTTCTTCAGGTTGGTAACACGCGATCACTGTTTCTTGACCAATTCCTTAACAGTGTATTACTGCATTCGGCTACACAGTGTAATTTATCGCAATGGCCAAAATTGGAGAAAACAGTGACTACCAGTGCATGTTGCTATGTCACATCGCCATCCGTTAGACAGACACATTGTCTGCCACCATCGAAGTCCACGTGATGTGAAAAAGGAAAAGATTGACTTAGCTGCTTCATATCCAATTTTTCAATCTCAGCGACTACATCCAACCTATTTATGTTACCTCAAAATGTTTGCTTCCCAAAAGTCCCCTCTTTGCAATCAATTCCTTTCAGTTACAGCTGTCTCTTCGCCCGTGA